AAGAGAGAAAGAGAGAGAGAGAGAGAGAGAGAGAGAGAGAGAGAGAGAGAGAGAGAGGGAGAGCCAATAATTACGTACTCGACGAGAAATATAAAATACGGCAATTCTATGTTTCCGGTTCCTCGACGCGTTGGCACTTCGTTGTGAATAATATCACATAAAACTTTTATTTTCATCATTTGTATATTGGCATCAAAAGTCAAAGTCTATAATGCGTTACACATTCTCGCAATGTTCTATGAGAAAACTGTGACGCCGATGAATTATGCGACAGTGTTTTAAATAATTGTAGTAATGATCGTGAACGATGAACACCTAACACGCGTCTAACTGGTAATAAAAATGAGAAACTTTGAGCGTACGGGTTTGATGGGATACTCCATTAAATCCTACAGATATGTATAATCCATCTGTCACAGAAAAAAGAAACTAGATGTACGTATAGGGTGTTGCGTATAAAAGAAGAAGCTAACACTAAATGCTATAATTGTACCGCGATAAACTTATACGATCTAAATCGATGAACGGCAATCCGATGCGCAATTACAAAATTAATATTTTGTTACGTTTTCTATTCGATTCGCAACTGAATCGCTGTTTCTGCGACATAAAACGGTATATAGAATATATATATATATATATATATATATCTCTATGTTTGTGTGTGTGTGTGTGGGGATAAACTTTGACCACATCAGTTTTGATTTGAAATTCGACGAAAGTCGAACGTGCGCCTGAGAGAGTTCGTCGGTTGTGCCAAAGTTGAACGAAATGAAAATGATCAAGGAAATTTCACGTATTCGACGAAAGAACTTTTCGACGCGCAACTCGAAAAACTAAAGCTCGTTGGTCGTATGGCGGCCGTATGGTATTATTACGTCTATTCTTTATAATTTGCAACAGCATTTCGGCGTGCCCCGTAACTACAGCTGCTTACTACACCTGCTCACTACCACCTGCTTACGGATATCGAGAATATCCGTATCACCGGATAATTAACTGATTTTTACTCGTTTACACGGTTCATCGACTGCAAACACCAAATACGTTACCAATACAAGAGAGATCTCACGGTTCTCCGAATAGCATTTACATACGACGATGTGCTCTGTAATATCGTTCGTTGGCTTCGTTTGAAAAGTGTGATCCAAATGGTGGTTGTAACGGATTTTTCAAATTCTTTCGTCCGACAATCGTGTGGTTGTTCTGAAAGGTAGATTCATCAAGAAACAATCACATGCCCAAAAAACATTACATGGTTTTCGTAGAATTTAGTGGCACACCGTAAAAAAGATATGTCCGTCTATCAATCAAGTCGGTATTAAAAATCTACCTATATTTGAGTATTGTTCGGATCCAAGGATGTATACACGGTGAACAAAAAGTTGCATCGTCGAGCCGTGTGTCTTACGACGACTCGACGACGCCCTCCTTTTCTTAAACTATGTATACGGTTGTTTCAACACGGTTGCGAGTCACCGTTTACATTACATTAATTAAATACCTAATAAATATAACAACAACGGTTTACAGTATTTAAATGTTAACTAATTACATGCATACATAAATATGATTCGCTACGGTATACGACGCTACTTTACGTATTCTTCTCTATGTACAATTGTTTTGGTGTTTTCCATTTTTTTTTTCTCTCTTTTTTTCCTTTTTGTTCGATTTCGATAAAATTTCCCTCTCAACACGCGTAACAAAATATGCTCGTACAAATTGAAACGTTCGTAACAAAGATAAACTCTAAAAATTGTTCGTCGAGGACAACACTCGTTCGAAAATAGTGACATCTTTCTTCAGAATGAATCTCACACGAGTTCTAAAAGTTTCGGCGGTTTTTGTATTCGTAAATATGTATGCCAATTGCGTGTGCGAACGTAAGCGAACGTACGTGAAAGAGTACAGTTTTGCAACCAGCTGAACTTTTGCGAACGAAACACAACTTTTCGAATAGACGACAACAAAGTACGTAGAATTACTTATCAAGTACTGTAGAATTTTGTACAATGTTACTGCAATGCGAACATCGTATTCTTCTTATGACTAGAGTTACAATGTTTCGTACGAACACAGTTAAGAACAATATCGCGCTCCTCGAGTACTGTTGCGTCTAGGAAACGTAAAACGGAATAATTATCGATTCATCCCTATCGTTCTAGATTATTCGCGGTAGTCCAAGGATATTTCTATACGTTTATTCAACATCTGTGTGTTTTATCAATCGTTTTTCATTCAAAATATTTTTCTTTCTCTCTTCAAGGATATGTATATACGTATAATATTATTTCTGAATGTATATACATATGTATACAACTTTATTAAGCGTTCGTCTTTGTAAAGTTGAGCTGTGTTTAATCTTCTAGACCTAAAGGTATGCGGTTTCCGAATGACTCCATCGAAAGCGTACAATGTCAACGAAACGAGAAGTTTTCAAGGGAAACGACGAGAGTACACTCGCTCGACTAATAAAAAAGAAAATAGCGTAACGCGCAACAGTGAGAGAGTCTGTTGTTCGTGACCCTGTATATGTATATATTCCCTGTCTGTCACGATAAGTTCACTGTGCCGGTAACAAATAGGAACTAGATTTAAGTTTACTTAAAAATCAAACTCCTTGAAAAGTATGCGCGCATCTTGACAGCATCTACGATATAGAGAGAATAATTGCGTTAACCCGTTCGATTCGTCAAAGTATTAAAAATAGAAATCGTTAGATCGTTTGTTAACCAATGTTTCATCTAAAAGTTCATTTAATACTCGGAATTTCTTACTAAAACGCGTAATGGCAATGCGTGAATTGTAATAGACGTTGCTACACACTCCTGTTGCAGTGAAATCACGGATTCCTCCAAGAAATTCGCATCTGCGCTCGATTCATTCGTCTACAGCCTACAGCCTACAGCCTACAGCCTACAGCCTACAGCCTACAGCCTACAGTCTACAGTCTACAGTCTACAGTCTACGACGACGACGGCGGCGGCGAAGACGACGACGACGACGACGGCGAAAACGTTCCTCTCGAAACAAGTAGTTGCATAATTCGATTTCCGAAGCGCAACGGCAACACGCACGAGCCTCTTACTGGTAGGATATTTGCCGGAACATGCTACTGATCTCCTCCATCGTCTTGTTCTTCGTTTCGGGCACTTTCTTGTAAATGAAGAAGCAGAAGAATGCTTGCAGCGCGGCGAAAATAATGAATACGTAAGCACCTAACGCCTCCTGCATCGGTAGGAACCCGATACTGACGATGAAATTCGCCGTCCAATTAACCGCGATGGCGACGGACGTCGCCGCGGGTCTCGCCGACTGATTGAACAGTTCCGACACCAAGAACCAAGGAATACTTCCCGGTCCGGTAGCGAACAGGACTACGAACATGATCACCAACACGATCGAAAGGTAAGCTGCCGCGCGAGACGAATCCTGAAAACATAAACAACCGTGTTCATTCTTCTCTTCTTCCATTCGAGATTTTCGCAGTACGGCGACGCGACATCGAGAGTGTACTTACAGCGAACGCGAGGCAAATCGCCAACAAAGCGGTATCGATGAACATTCCGGTGAAACCGATCATAAGCAGCGTTTTCCTTCCGGCTTTCTCGACCAGTATCAACGAGATGAAAGTCATGATAACGTTCATCGCACCGACGCCCATCGTCGCATTCTGTGCCGCGTTCTTGTCCAACTGCGCCATCGTAAAGATCTTCGTCGAGAAGAACATGACGGCGTTTATGCCGGACAATTGTTGCGCAAACATCACCATAATCGCGATGAACAGTGGGATCCTAAGTGCAGAATTTACGAACAATTCTTTCAGCGTGACCTTTGGCACCATCTTCACCGACTCGTACTCCGCCCTCATTTCGTCCATCTCGTCGTGAACTTCGATCGTGCCGCGTAGCCAGGACAAAGCTGCAACACGCAACGGACATTTCGTTACAGACATCGATAGCCGTCTCGGTCTAATAAATCTAACGGAGAATGATTCATTGTTTGCTTCGATTAATCGTATGTATTAATCGCGCGTATCGTTTTCTATTTCCGCTCAACGGGAAAGAATGTTTCTCGCGCTCCACTTACGATTCGAAGGTAATACATACACAGAGTGAGAAAATCAAGTAAACGGGTGAAGATGAGAATCGATCGTACCTCTTTGCGCTTCCATGTCCTTTCCTTTGCTGAGCAACAAGTATTTCGGACTCTCGGGGCACAACGGAAGCGTACATACTTGGAAGATCGCGGGGACGATCGTCAAGCACATAAGAAGGGGCCATTGGTCGGACGTGCCCAGAACTTGTTCGAGTCCCAGGATCTGCGATACCAGAATAGACATGGTGATAACCAATTGATAAACCGTACCAACGGCTCCTCGCAGATGAATGGGCGAAATCTCGGCTAGATACATGGGTGCTAGACCGGCGTTCAATCCAGCGTTGATACCGATTAAGAATCTTCCGATGATTATCATCTCGTAGCTCTTCGCCGACTTGGCGCAGCCCTCGAAAATTACTGTGAGGAGGACCAGCACGTTGTTCAGTAAGAGACCACCCTTTCTACCGAAACGATCGGCTATTGAACCCACCAGAGAACCGCCGATCATCCCGCCGACGCAGAATATCGACACTGCTATCGACCAAATCATCGTTACGTCCGATTGTTTCGTCGGCTCACCGGTACGATTCATTTTCAGGTTACTGATCCAGTCCTCGATAAGCTACGAACATATCGCAAACCGACAAACGTTACACCACCACCATACTTCTTCCAAATGGCAATTTACGCGTTGTATCATCTTCGGAAATATCTCTACTTTACAGATTCGAGTGCTATTTAATATTTAATATTTAATAGACACCGTTATCTCAATGACGCGGCAAACCGTGTAAACCGGCAGACCCGGGAGTCTTTCGAACAAACGCGCGATGCATGCACGCGTACGTATGCAGATGTACGCGCATAGCTACCTATGCAGCGTACCATGTACACGCGAGTCAAACTATCGCGGACGCGATACAGAAAGATTCAATTTCCAATCAACCATTATCATTCCGTGCGACGAGAAACCGACCGATAATGACCGTGAAACCTCGAAACGTGACATTTCAGGAGATTTTCATTCGTTTCGAAACACAACTGGGCAGCGTGTTTGTAAACATGCTCCACGCGACAGCTCCGAGTAATATATTTTCATGGAAAACTGTCCGATACCTTGCATATATAATAACAGTTACATAAGCAATTATTATTACATAATTGTAATTAACGGTGTCATCCGCTATTACACAAAGTACGCGTGTATGCACGCGACGCCAATATCGAATCGCGGACGAGTTTCAAGCGTGAAATTCGTCCGTGAACGCGATAACGCGAAGGTACGGTCAATGACGCAAGTCAGATTATCGGGCCATGCATCGTCGATACCGCGAGAATAATTATCACGAATTCGATGGAATCGGGATAGCCGTAGCGAACGAACGCGCGACAGACGACGCGTCAGCGAGCGAATACGTGCAAGGAAAACGTTCAAAGAAACGCTGACAATACGTCTCGCCGAGAATACCTGCTGAGGTGCGTTGACGACTCCAGTGTTGTACCCATGTTGGAAGGATGATCCGAGCGCAGCAGCCGCTATGGCGAATGCTAACCGTCCGTTCAGGCCCTGCAATCAATCGACATACGAAGCGTTCTTAATACCGCCAAATATCCAAACATCCAAACGTCCAAACGTCCAAACGTCCAAACGTCCAAACGTCCAAACGTCGAACAGACTTTCGACCCGACACAAAGACACACCCTTCTTTCGATTATTCGAGCGATACGCTAATTACCAAATACCGATAGACGCGATAACGATTAAAACTATAACTCGTCGCGCATCACTCGGTGAAACGAGTAATGCTCCGAAATAATTCATTAATTATTTCCGATATCGAGACGGCGAGGATTCGACTAGAGTTGTCCTCGATCAATAAATTAAAACGAAAGAACTTGTTGCGACACACTTTTTTGCCGCGAAACGCTCGGTATTCTTCCGTCCTGAATATTCCGAGTCGCGGTACGTAACGATAAAATTTCACACCAGCCATTTACATAAAGTTCAGAATAAAATTGCAAGACCGTTGGACTAAGACTCGGTGAACGCGTAATAAAACGAGCCGGTAAAAAACACATTAACTTATCACGTTACTCCGATCGTCCGAGTAGGAAAAAAACGATTAGTTTGTCGGATCGGGTAACGCACTCGTAATCGATCGTTTACGCGACAAAGGGAAATTCGTTCGGCCCTTACCGCTCTTCTCAAGTAAGGAACCTCCAAATCGATCGTCTTTAGAGTCATCGAGATATCGAAGCCGCTTCGGTGATTCGTACAGGATCGTATCCGACCAACCGATCGATCGATCGATCGAACAATTCAATTGAAACGGATGAAAGGCGGTCGAAGGTGGAACTTTTCTAGAAAATCTCGACGTCCTCGGTGCTTTCGAACACGTGTCAAAGACTACTCTGCGGGTCGGTACCCCCGCCACGCATTTTTATACCGCTTCAGCCCAGAACGTACGTACACAACCAAGCCAGTCACACGATACGACACACGGTCCGACTGCAACGAAGACTTTGCGAACCAGTGCTTCTCAAAGCCGTATCTGTCGATCGTTTCTCCGTTTTCTATCCTGCTGAACATTCAAAAATCTACGAATCTGCGAATCTATTGGTCTGCGCATAATCGGAAATATCGAGAAAACGAACGTTTCAAATGCTTTCATCGCGCGTTACCATTTCACGGATACTCGCATCGCCTACCAAATAAATATATAGATACTTGCGAGCAACGATGATACTCGTTAATAGCGCAGAGGACGAGTATAGCCACGTAATTACAGATGACGCGAACATAATGTGCGATTCAATGTACGCGGAAAGACGGTAAGATTATGTGGAATGACTATGTATAGAGGCGCGCAACATTGTGTCGATTCCAGCAACAGATTCTCTCGGCAACGGTGGCAGGCGGCGTTCTCGAGGAGGCTCGTGTCATCGAGCACTGCGATTTAATTTTCGCGGAGGACGATGTCTGGGTTCCGTGCGTCCCAGCGCGTAACGGTGTTCTTCAAAATGAAAAGGTCGCGCCGCGCCGCGGCTGGTCGGACTCGGACGAATCGGTGCGAAAGTGAAACCGAGCGAGTGGAGAACATCTACGGAACAACCTCTGACAAACATATCAATCTCACGCGATCTTTTGCTTTTCATGAATATTCGTATTACGAAACGCATTAGGCGCCTGCCTCTCGTATCCATGCGGTAGCATCGCTACGCGACACGCCGATTCTTTCGTCGCGGTCTCTAACCGACTTACTCCTATTCGGAACCTAGCCAACATTCCATCGCTGAGACTCCGAAAATTTAGAAACCCGAGTGCGAAACACAAACACGCGACGAACTTTTCCCCGAAGCTCGCGACCCACCCGGTCAAAAATCTATGACGCGCTTTCTTCGATCGCGATTCATTCGTCGAGAGTAGTACCGGCGCGCGCGACCTCTCGAGAAACTAATCGAGTCATTAGGAAAATTCTATTTCCCGCTCCTCGTGCCGATCGTTTTCTCTCGATACATTTCCTGGTTGCAATTATACCGTGAAAAAACCTATCATTATCGTCGATCGTGGTCGATCATAGTCGATCGATCGTCCATCCACCGCCTTTGATTTGTAGAAACTCTTAATCGCGGGAAAAAAGCGTGACTCGTCCTCTCTTGGGAAACGATCGAATACATCGAGGTTGAAATTCAAGAAAGCGATACCGCGCGTCGTTTCACGAATGCGAAAGAAATTGCTTCGTAAGCGTGTTTCTCGTGATACCGACAGGCTGAAAAGCGCGAGGATTGCGTGCACGCGTGCACGAGCGCACGAGCGCACGCTCGCGAGGATACGGGCTCGGAGGATTCTTTCGTTGATTCCAGAATGCCGAGCTGTCGCTAACATCCCGACGAGTCGTCGTTACTCGCGGCGGATACTTGTGCTAACGAAATTCCAATTCGCCAGGTGACGTCAGAACGGTCATTCCGAAATGTTACGCCGTCACGCGGTGCGGTCGGAGAGTAAAGGTACCAAAAGAGACGAAAAGAGACGAAAAGAGACGGAAAGAGACGGAAAGAGACGGAAAGAGACGGGAGGAGAGGAGGCGAGAAGAAACGAAATGAGACGCACGGGGAAATTTCCCGCTGTTCGCAGCTCCGAGCCGCTCCGATTGGCCGAGCCAGAGGTGTGTCGATCGTCGACGGCACCGATTGGCTCGCGGCGTCGAGCCTCTCCTAACGAGCCTCGTGGCAAGTCGAAGCGTCCTAATTATAGCGACACACGCGCGAACGCCAACACATTTTATTCAACGTTTCAACGTACGATAAGCGGAATCAATTATGTCTCGGACGATTCGTTCAAATTCCCCTAAACTGATTTTGCAATACTCGTATCGAATTATTTCGGTAAGGATCTCACGCGATTCACCGAGCAGCCTTCGTATCGCATCGTTCGGCCGATATAAACTGGCAATACAGATAGAACGGAAGAATAATGGAAAAGAGAGAAAAGAGAGAAAAGAGAAAAGAAAAAAGAAAAAAGAAAAAACGAGACGTATTAGGACACACCGATGACATTTCTTTTCCAAGTTATCGGTAGACGTTGATATCGGCATTATCGGTATGCGTGTCAATTATACTTATGCTGATGTAAACGATGTACAACATAGTATTTTTCTACTAAAAATAGTTTCGCCACAGTTGATAGCACGAGACACAGACACAGAGGCGTACGGACGCTTTTATCTCTCGCTCTATAGAATTCGCCACTTCTATCTTCAACCTTCGGTCGAATCTATTTGCGATCTCGGGATGAACTTCGGCAGCTGTTTTGATTTTAACGCGCGCCTTCGACTTTCTCGATGAATTCGCGTTGCCGAAAGAACTCTAGGTTCATTGAATTTCCCGCGATTCCGCGGTGCTCGTCTCGAGGAAAACCGTTTCGCGAAGTCGCACGCGTTACGCGCTCGACGAACGTTCATCGCACCGGCGTTTCTCTATCCAACGCCTCCGACATAACAGATATTTTTCCGATGGAAAATAACGGTGCTGCGAAAATCTCTCCGCGCCGCGTAGCACCTCGAAATAAAAGTAGCTTCGAACGGTACGCCAGACACGCCGCGCCTCCTAAGCGGCTTGACATCTTTTCGAGACTGAAAGTCATCCCGTTTCGACGTAATCTTCAACCTTGCGCAATAAAAATCCCAATAATCTCATTTCACCGAGCAACCTGCTGTAATTTATATTCATCTGCTTGTACGTTTAATATGCACGATACCGAAAACAATGAGATTCCGCGGTATTTATCGACTTGCGTCACTCTCCCCGGCTGACACACGGGGTCTGTTACGGTGTTTCCGAAAAGCGATTCGGAATGCTACAGGGAATGCTACAGCGAATGCTACAGCGAATGCTACAGCGAATGCTACAGACGGTTCATCGAGCAGCGATAGAAGAATCGCGACTACACCACTGCACGCGTGGGTTGCAATGCAGATAGAAAGCGAGAAGAGACTTGTCAATGATTCGAAAATATTCCATTCACGGTTCGCTGCGCGCCCAACGTTACGCGTACTTTTCAATTCTAGATCAATTAACCACGCAAATGTTAGTTACCGTTAACGATTATCCAATCGTAAATGAAATAGACCGCTGATCGAGCTCCTTCTGTACAACGCACTTGGATTTTAGATGTTTCTGGGAAAGTTTCTCCTTGTCGCGGGCATACTCTATGCGTCCTCGTTTAGGTTAGCAGTTTAAAGTAAAGTCAAGTAAAAGACGTTCGTCTCGCCTGATCGAAGCGATCGATTTAAAGCGGATCGCTCTATGGAACCACGCGACAAGCGAACGAGGGCCATTTGTAGGCCACGAGTTGGGCCCGGTTCGCCATCCCTTTCTCTTCTTTCTTCAGCTGTGAATTTCGTAAGCGATCGCATACTCTCGAACACTTCGATCGTGTGCACGTACAAGCGCATCCGCACGATTGGACGCATGCCGAGCATATTGCCGTTTTTATCCTCTTCGATAGGAAATCTTTAGATGTTCTCCGCGCGAATAGATACAGAGCTGTGCGGTATTAAGGATACTAGCGAGATCCGGTTACATTATGCACGGAAAAATCGGAAAGACCGCGACAATGTTGTCTATGACTGGTATGACACAAATAATCCAATGTCGTTCGATTAATGCAACTTTGACCCCAGCGCAACGCAAGGCTTGACATTGTTTCGGATTAGTGTCATCGTGTCTCGTCAAGTTCCCTTTCACTTTCGACAGCGGAAAGGAATTTTACCGGTAATTTGCAAGGTGATATCGAACGCGTTACGGTGAAACCTCAACGTCGATCATGTAACTAAATCGCCAACGTTCTCGTTATTAAACCGCATTATTCAAGATCGCCACACATCTTCCTTCGCTCGAACACATTCGCGACGCATTTGCGAACACGAAAGAGCAGAGTAAATGAAAAAAGGCAGAATACACGTTTCACCTCTCGAGGAAAATCAACAAGTAGCTGCCGAAATGTTGCTATTTCCCATAGGTGCGCTCTCGCGAGCCACTTGGCATAAAAAAACCCTATAAAGGGTTAAGCTAGGCGATCGGTCCAGGTATTTGTCCAGGTATTTGTCCAGGTATTTGTCCAGGTATTTGATCCAGGTAAATAGTTTTAAAATTTAGTCGAATCGAGATTCCTCCGTTTCGTAGACGGTTCTTCGGTAAGTCGAGACGCGGCAGGTAAGAACCACAGGAAATAATTAACAGATTTGTGTATCGAGTGTCAATTAGAAGACCGATACAAAGCTTCCTCTGTTTGGATATCCACGACGACACGAATCCTAGCATTGTATGTTAGTAGCGTTCGCGTGCTAATAATATTTGCACACTATTCAGAACCGCTCGGAATAAGTACAATAGAGTTTATTCGAGGAATAATTTCGGAGAACGCTTCACGGTTTCCGAATGAAAATTGGAAACTATCCGGATTTGAAAATACAAATCGTCGAATGTAATAATCCTGTTTCGTAGCAGGAAAAATGCCGATTTACCCATTAGGATAACTCGTAACAATTCTGAGAACTGGCAAATTGAATTCCGATCGCGAATCGATGCCGATTTCCATTTGATATCTATAAACGCAGAGTGGAAATAGGTTGGTGCCGGAGCTGTATTTACCTGTAACCAGCTACTTTCGCTCATGGTGAATCGGTGGATCCAGCGTGTCGGTTCACGTTCAATGAAACACTGTTTTCGGTTCGCGCGATTGATCGGACGTACCAATGCTCATAGACGAATGTAATCGAACGGACGCGAGACAGAGCAAATGGAGAACGAGAGGAAGATATCGGGGAGACCAACCACCGAATTGTTCCGTATCACGATCGCGTTTGTGAGCTACTGAGACGATATTCGTGCGAGCGGGACGAAAGCCGATTTTCGAAACCAGTCCGTATCTCCCTCTCCTCTTTGTTCCTCGTTACTCGGTACTCACTCCAGCTCGCTTACTGGGACCCCCGAACGAATCTCATTGGCCGACAGACACCACCACAGAGCCTATGCCTCTAAGCAGTCCTGCATTTCTCCCGACAACAAGTCCGAAGAAAGGAATCGACGCTGGGAACTGTCTGCCTCGCGATCAGACTCGCGACAACCTTATTCTTTGCCCTTCCTCGCTGCGAGTTTTGCTTCCTGTATCGCGAAAGGTACATCGTTCCCATTTCCCGTTGCTCTGTCTCTGCGCGCGGTTACAACTGCTCTACCATTTCACTGCCATTTCTCTACCGGCCGATCAAATCTGCCCGATTTCTCGCATCGATCCGATCGAATTATTCGGTTTTCGGATTTTCCCAAATGTCTGGCAAAACCACGGACGAATATTCTTATCGCGCGTTAACTCGTCAATGTAACGCGTCCTTTCCAGCAGATAATGTGACAAACACGATGTCGCCGCGTCTCGATTTCATCGATCTTGAACCGTGTGGTACCGCCGAACGAGTTTGTATTTCATCCGTCGCATATTAAGAGGATACCCTCGTTGAGGTCATTTCAAAGCTATTATACATTCGTTTCGATCACGCCTATATACGAAATATGTATAATCGAATTCAAGGAGAACTCAGAACGAACGATTCGTGATCAAGCGTTTCCCGCTTACTGTCGCGTGTCGAAAATCTTTGCAATCGACAGTGCCGAGAATTGAAACGCGTTATTTCCTACGACAATTAGAGACATTAACGAAGGGAGATTAATCGGAGCTAGCAATGCTTGGTTGCAACGGTACGGAAATCGGCGGAGAAACCGATACACGCGAACCAAAACCTTTTTAACCTGTCGCTCTGCTAACTTCGGTTCTTCGCAATTATTTTTATCCAAACTAAACACTATCGTCAAAAAATTCTTCTCGATCGTTCTCTCTCGACACGCGCTTGTCGAGCGAGAAACACTTTGAACTCGAACGGTTCAAGTTTCCAGACGTGCACATAAATTCACGGTGAGTAAAAACATCTCTTTCTTTTTCTCGTTTCTGTCTTTCTTCTTTCTCTCTTTCTTTTCTTGTTTAGACAAAAAATGTTTCGTTTTAGAGGTACATTTTTACCTGTTGGCCGTTACCAGTCGGTACCGTCTCAAACAAGAACATAGAACCGGACGTAGCCTGTTAACGGTAATGTTAGGCTTCGCGTACAGTAATTTTACAATTAAGAGTATTGAAGCAGAATAGTCGTCCGTTCCGCGTATCCTCGGTGTATCTCTCAAACGACGCACTAGCTTTATCCCCCGGACTCTTGGTTAGAGAATGTAACTGATACGGCGCAGCGACCACCGTCCATGATCAATCCTTCTGGACACCGAGGTTTCGAGCAAGACGATAAGCACGCTCGCTTCGAAAAATATTTTTAGCTACTTATTTCCCTCGCTTCGTTCTACTCTCGCGTGACTAGTGCTCCCGTCCTACATTTTGTTTCCGTTCGAATATCGTTCAGTTTTCGACACCGGCGATTAGCGATAGCGAACCACCGATTTCGCAAAGAAACCAAAATCTCGTTGATCGCCCGGCGAACAGGACATTACGTGTACGGGGAAAATAGCATCTACGCAGAGACTACGAGAATCAAGTAAGTTGCCTTGGTTTCGGCGGTGCTTTCGGTTGAAACTAACGAAAAGTAAACTAACGCGACTGCGAGGATCGCCCGTACACATGTGTTTCGCGATGAAAAATCGTCGCTGGTCGAATCGCGATGTACCGGACAAATCGTAGGCGTCGCAGGGGAGTATCGCGGTGAGCGTAACTCGCTCGGACATAGAAGAAAATCCAAGAGAACA